CCCCCATCCCCACCCCCCCGGGCCGGCGCGCGCAGGCGCAGCCCTCTCGCGATAAGTGGGAGCAGCGGCCGGGACGCGGGGCGGGCGGTCGTACCGCGCTGCGGTGGGCGCGCTGTCCCCTCGCGGAGCTCGGGCTGGGAGTTCCCTGGCAAAAGCTCCGAAAAATGCGGTAAAAGCAGGGGATCCCTGATGTCAGTTCTGAGCGGGGCCTAAGGGGCCAAGCACCCCTCCGTTTTAGGGTTAGGGACAGGTATTTGTAGACCAGAGAGGGGTGGTCAATGCCCCAGAACCAGATGTGCTAGATACAAGACCATCAGGTTAAATCTGAATTTTAGGAGAACAATGAATACCTTTAGTCGTAGGATTATGTCCATATAATATTTAAGACTTTTGTTTTTGGTAAAAAAAAATTGTTTCGAGCCAGCCATTGACATGGTGGTTAAGGTGGCTGGATCCTACGTGACTGACTGCCGGTTCAGACCCAGACCTGTGGCTTGAAAAATGTGCTGGGTGTGTGTGGCCTATGTGCCCAAAATCCCGAGAGGAGAATGGAGAAGGGATTGCAGCATGGCCATCTAACCTGGGGTTGAGCTCTCACTTTCTCTTCTCTCTTGCACTCTTTTTTTTTTTTTTTAAGTATTTATTTAGTTTTACTTACTTATTATTATTCTTCAGTTTGATCAGAGAGAGAGAGAAACATACAGAGCAAGTGAGAAAGCCAGCCACCAGGTCTGGGACTCAAACTACGGTTGACTGTGTGGAAATCCAGTGCCTTAACCACCATGCCACCTGCTGGCCCTTGCTCTCTCTTTAATCTCTCTGGCACATATGCCCTATAACAAAACTGGGAAAAAAAGTAGTTTACCTAAAGTTTGAACTTAACCCTTCATGCTATTTTGATTTATTATCTCTGGCAACTCTATGGATGGCCAGGTGGGAGCACAGCAGCTGGCAGGCTCTCTCCCATAGATGCAGTAGGCGCTCCTCTCAAAGCTCAGGGTAGGTGGGAACCAGCAGTTAGCGTAATGGCTATGTCGCTGGACTCCCACGTAGTCGACCGTGGTTCACGTCCCGGACCGGGTGGCTTAGAACTCACGCCGGGCGCGTGTGCGTGCGTGCCCAAGATCCCGAGAGGAGAATGGAGGAGAAGGGATTGCGGCGTGACCATCCCCCCTGGGGGGTGATTTCTTGCTTTCTGTCTCTATGTCTCTCTCTGTCTGGCTGGCGAGCGCACCCGCCCTATAGCCGGGGTGGGGAGGGGGGAACCTCTCCAAAAGCTCAGGGTGGGAAAGAATTGTAGGTTAGAGTATGCAGCCTCCTTTTCTAGACATGGAAACACAAGATATTTGTTTGTACCAGTAGGTGGCAGAGGTGAGAGCAGGACCTGGCCTTCAGCAGGTACCTGCTTGCTGAATGAGTGAATGGAGTCCAGAGTCAGTGCCAGGTTGGTGCCCATGGCATGGAGTGTGCTGGGCTTTTGGTCACCAACCCCATCACACTGAACATCTAACTCTCAAATATCCTTTCCCTCCCATTCTTTTCAAAGTAACTGGAAGAAGACCAGGCGTTCTACTGTAAAGAGCAAGGCTTTATTCACAACTTCAACAGGGAAGCAAGAAATACAGCAAGAACATAGTTTGTGTCTGCATCAGCACTATTCCTGGCGACCCGACCAGAAATCACAGTTATGGGGTGAGAGATTTGAGCTCAGGACTTACATCCTGACGGGGCCACTATGAGGGTTCCATTCAGCACCTTCCCTGGCTGAGCACAATCTACGCCGTGTTGTCCTGTCTGCCCCATTGTTGGCATCATTTCTGCAGTATTTGCACCAGCAGCCTCCTGTACTGAAGGAAAACATATGGAAGGATGGGGAAGGAGGCAAATGACAGGGCATCCTGCCGTCCCTAAGTGCTAGGCATTCAGAGGTGAGCAGAGGCAGGCTCTCTGCTGAAGCAGGCCCCTTTGCACCCTTCTCTGTAAAGGGCCTACAGTGGGTTGGGGCAGAGTTCTCTGTGAATACAGCCCTAACCTCACAGGGCAGTCCCCACAGTCAAGGAGGTCATGGAAGTGAAGTCCAGGGACAGTGCCCAGCTAGGCACTGCTTGCTCTGGGAGTCTAGTTGGTTTGCATGTTTCAAATCTTCAAAACCAATGGCCACAGAGGTGACATTGGCTCCCTTTGGACTCAGCCAGGTCAAGCTCCAAACCCTAACTTCTGAGGTCCCTGAGGGTTGGGGTTATGTGCATCAGGAGGTCAGGGATTGTGAACTGGGGCTGGGAATACCCTTCCTTCTATGCTGGGCAGTGGGGGTGTGAAGGCGAGGTATCACCAGGGAGATCACAGACCGGTTGGAACTGCTTACTGAGTGCATTTTATGTGTCCAGCACCACACTGAGCATGTGACGTAAGTGGCCTTATTTTATTTATTTATTTTTGATTGCCAGAATGCGCACACACACACCAGAGAGAGAGAGAGAGAAATGGACAGGGAATGGTCAGGTGGCAATCCCTTTGCCTCCATTTCTCCACAAGGTCAGAAGTTGGGGTATGTGCCCACATACACATGCCCAGTGTGTCGCTCAAGCCACCAGGATTCAAAACACAATCGCCCGTGTGGGATCCTGCTTCCTTGGCCACTAGGCTTTGGGGCTGGCCCATAAAAGGTCTCATTTAATGAGAGACGGGCCTATTACTACCTCCATTTCATGAACAAGGAAGATGAGGCTTAGAGAGGCTAATTAACATTCTAAATTCATACAGCTCCTAAGTAAAAGGCTAGATTATAAACCCAGCATGGGACCAGCAGTTAGCATAATGGCTATGTCGCTGGACTCCCATGTAGTCGACTACGGTTCCGGTCCCAGACCCGTGACTTAAATTCACGCAGGACATGTGTGTGTGCGTGCCCAAGATCCTGAGAGGAGAATGGAGGAGATGGGATTGCGGCATGGCCATCCCCCTTGGGGGGTGATTCTTAGATTCTGTCTCTATGTCTCTCTCTGTCTTTCTGGCGAGCACTCGCGCCCTATAGCAAAACCTCAAAAAGAAAAAAGAAAAAACCAGCCCCACACACTCGTCAGAGCCCACACTGTTACCTCACACTGCCTCTGCACACAGCAAGAAGTAGCTAGGAGGGTAGTGGGCATGGGGACAAGACCAGGAGCAGGAAACGGGAGCCACTACTCAGCCAGGTGAGGCATTCGGCTGGCTTAGCTCCATCTTTGGAGCCTGGAACCCCCCACATCCTGGTCAGTAAATAACAGCCAACAATGATTTGGGGCCCTTCTCCCCATCTAGTGATTTCTAGAGGCATTTTTGGTTTTCATAATTTGGAGAGTATATACTGGCACCTGGAAGGTAGAGACTGGGGTGCTGCTGAGCATCCTCCAATGCACAGGAGAGCCCCCAAGACAAAGGATGTCCCACCTAGGATGTCAGGCGTGCTGCTGCTGATAGACCCAGTGCTGCCTACAAGGCAGACTAGTGACTGGTCATGGTAAACAGGGTCCGGGCTCTGTCTCAGCTGCCAGCTGACTTTGCTTCCTCTCTCTGGGCCTCGGGATCCCAGCTTTAGCCCCAAGCACACATGTGGCAGGGCAGAAGTGGACCTGACTAATGCAGCAGGGGATAGCTGAGATGGGGCAAGGCTGTGTGGACAGGAGGAGAAGGGTCCTGCTGGGAGAGGCTGGAAGCCCATGACTTCAGACTGGGCAGTGATCTAGGTAAACCTTCTTTCCTACATCTTGCTCCGTGGGATCTGCTGGAAGGTGTGCTCACTCTTTGAGCTCTGGGTCAAAGGCAGAGCCTGGAAGCCGGCTTTCTGAGTTCGCACCTGTCATGCCCTGCCAGGGTAGCCCATGCTGGGTGGTAATTCTTCCTACACTGGACCCAGAGGTGGCTCTGGTACTGAGCTGTCCTGGTACTGGGAATGGGGAGTTCTGGCTTACCTGGGTCTGGGGTGCTGGGCCACTGAGGCCTTCAGCATGAGGATCTTGAGTAGGTCATGACTCAGTTGCAGTCTCTGGTCCCTCAGGGAGGGGTCAAGAGCCGTTCCCAGGGGAGATGGGCTGGGGTGCTCCAGACTCTTCTTGCCCATGAAGTGACCTAGAAAAGAGGTGCCAAAGCTCAAGAAAGTCAGGAGCAAGGATCCACCCCAGTGAGGAGCTTCCTCTTCTCTTCTGCCTTTCAGTTCTAGTGGCAGGGAGACCCCGACCTTCCTCCTCCTCACCAAGGAGCCACAAAGGGCTGTGGGTCAGGGAGGCCTGCTAGCTCACCTCCCCTGAACAGGTGGGAGTGGAGAGCATGGCTCAGCTGGAAGGAGGGGGTGCTGGCCTGGGTGGAGGGACACTGCCCCTTGTGCTGCCTGCATGGCCAGGGGTGGGAACGGGCAGGGGAGGAGGTGGAGAACAAAGAGGTGCGGTAGGTAGGTGGAGGTGCAGAGGACACACGAGAGGTTAGCAGATTCTGCAAGTCCTGTCTCAGGGCAGGGACACCAGGGGACAGGCAGACGTGGACCGGACCCAAGCACACTGGCTAGGTGATCCTAGTTAGCCAGTAACTAGCCTGGCTAGTCTCAGGTCTCCCATCTGTTAAAGTAGGAGCCTCAGCGTCGCCCACCACCAGCTCAGACACTGGTGTCTGTGGCTGATAAGTGGCAGGAGTAATATGGGGTTCGAAGGGGTCCCCAAAGACTTACCGGTGGCCCAGAGGTTGCCCCGCGGGTGCACTCGGATCTTGCCGGCTTGGCTGCGGGGCTCCGGGAGATCCCAGCTGAGCGGGGCGGTGCCCGCAGCCAGCAGGGCGAAGAGCAGGAGGCTGCCAAGTAGTCGCGCGCCCCCCGCCCGCCGGGCCATGCTGTGCCCGACCGCGGCTCGCTGGGCTCTGCTATGTTTGGCTCAGTCTGCAGGCGCTGCCGGGCTGCCCGAGCTGGCAGTGCAGCCTCCCCTCCTTTTAAACCCCGGCCTCTGGAGGCGGGGCCAGCTCCGCCCTCGCCGAGACCCTCGGGCAGGACTCTGGGTCCCGGCTCCTCCTCTCAGATCTGCACGCAGCCCGGCGTGGGCACCGCTTCCTTCAGGGGGTTCTGACCGCTGCCCACCCATCGGGCTAAGGGCTTGGACCCCGGCAAGCCGGCTCCGCTGGCCGATGCCACTCTCTCCAGTAGTTCCTCAGCCCTGAACTTCTCTTGATGAGCGTGGAGTTGGGGCGAGGACCAGCTTCCCATGTGTCACGGGCAGTTTTAGTGTCACAGTACAACCAAGCGCGAGGACCGGAGGGAATCCATGCATTAACCGCCGCCACCACTCCACTAGCGGGGATCGTCTGGGGACAGCTCACTCCAGATAGTCTGGGTATGTCCTGCCAGGCTGCAGGTGCTTGGACGGGGAAGGTGGGATGGAGGGTGGGGAGGAGGAGCCAGGCTGAGGAGTGGGTGGCCCGCTGGAGGGTCCAACCCATCAGCTGGACAGGGCAGACCTCTGGGTCGGGAGATAAAGAGTGCTGCACCGCGAGTCCACACACAGGCGGTGGAGCCTCGCTGAGCCTCGCCTTCACTGTGCAATGGGCATAACCACACTGCCCTCCTGCTAAACTTTTTTTTCTCTTTTTTTAAGGTTTTTGCCATAGGGTGCATGTGCTCACCTGAGAGATACACCCAGGAGGGATGGCCACACCGCAACCCCTTCCCCTCCATTCTCCTCTCAGGATTTTGGGCACAAACATACAGGCACCCAAGGTGATTTTGAAGCAGTTGGATCCGGGACTGGGACCGTGGTCAGCCATGTGGGAATCCAGTACCTTAATCAACATGCCGCATTTTCTAAAATGTGTTGGTGGGTGCCTATGCTTGCTAGAGGGACAGAGCTACTGAGAAAGGGAGGAAGCACCCCCTGTCCCATGGAGAGTGGTCACAGCTCAATCCCTTCTCTACCATTCTCTCAGGTTTTGGGGGATGCATGCACACATGCCCAGTGTGCTTCTCAAGCTACAGGGTCCAGGATGCAAACCCCACAGTCAGCCATGTGGGATCCAGCTCCCTTAACTACTAGGCCACCAAGCTGGCCCAATATGTATTTTTTTAATTTTAAAAAGAATTATTTATTCAATTCTATTTTATGGAATTGAATTATTATTATTATTATTAAAAATGGACCAGAGAAAGGGAAAGCAAGAAAGCAGGCCGCCAGGTCTGGGACTCAAACCACGGTCAGCCACGTGGGAGTCCAATGCCTTAACCAGTACACTACTTGTTGGCCCTCAATGATGTATTTTTTTAGCACAACTATTTTGTGACAGAGAGCAGCTATCATACAGGACCTGCTCTCTCACACCCAGCACTCTGTCCTCCCAAAGAGCTGTCTGGACTTGTTTGGAAATAACTCTCGGAGTGGTGGCATCGCAGATGAGCAGGAGAGGACACTGTGCTCCAGACTGTTTTATTTTCGGTTCAGCCTCTACTGAGCACTGGTGTGTTCAGAGCATGAGGCTTGGGAAAGGACGAGGGGAGGCAAAGAGCATTCCCTGCTCCCAAAGGCATTCGCTGTCTTGTTCAAGAGAGAGGACACAGAGGAATGAATCCTGGAGGGGAGTGCAGACCAATCTCCGGACGCCAGACCCCTCCCTGGAACACTGCCACGGTCAGCCACGAGAACCTGCATCTGGCGACAGAACCTGCATCTGGCTGGCTCAGTAATGGGGCCTGCAGTTATTAGGCTTGTGCATCTCTAGCTCAGCAAGGCCTGCTAGTTCTAGGGATCACCACCCTAGAAGAGGACACTTACACAAGAAGCTGGCTGTCATGCTTCCAGGAGCATGACACACAGGACAGGGACACTCATTTTTGGTCCTTTTCCCATCTCCTTCTCACCCCCCGCCCTGGCATTTACACCTTTCTTGTCACAGCTTAGCCATGGTGTACAGATATAGCTCTTATCACCTCCCCCTCCATAATAATCATTCCCTTTGCCACTGCTCCCTCTCCTCTACATCCATCACACCCCATCTTAGCCACTCCACAGACATAGAAATTGGTGGGAGCATGCAGCCGTTGGTATTTAGGGATTGCTGCCTCACTGAAATGCATGAAGGAGCTCTACTAGGTAGATTTCCCTCTCATTTTATAGGTGGGAACAGGCCCAGGAGGGAGCCTGTTGTTCAGTTGCCCAAACTTCTCACTGGATTCAGACTTCGGGCCTGTCTGGACCACTGTATTAGATCCCCAAGCTAAGAGGGGCACATCCATCCATCCATTCATCCCCCTCACCACATTTCTTTTTTTTCCTTTCATTTGGCCAGAGACCACATGCACTTGCCAGGGAGAGATAGAAAGAGAAAGCAAGAGAATGAGAGAGAGAGAGAAAGAGAGAGAGAAAACTCCTCCCCCCATGGAGGATGGTCATATCGCAATCCCTTCTCTATTTCTCCCTCCTTTCAGGGTTTTGGGCATGCACACATGCACTTGGCATGTTTTCCAAGCTATTGGGTCTGGGGCTTGAACTGCACAGTTGATCATTTGGGATCCAGCTGCCTTAACCACCATGCCACCAGCAGAGTTCAACACCAAGGTGAGTTTCGATTTCACAGGGAACACAGAATAGGAGTGGGCACTGCATGGAGTTTCACTTCTCTTCTGCAGGTGACACTAGGACCTTGGGTTCTATCTACTCTGACAGATTTATTCATATTTAAGTCAAGCTTTCTTGGGTACAGCCTGGCTTTGCAGCTCAAAAGTGGCTCCTGACACCATTGGGACCATTTGACAGCTCCACACAGGGAAAAGGGGCCTCTGTGTACCCTGGAGAAAGCACTGGGCCAGCAGCTCGATAGCCACCTCTAAAACACGGTCTACAGAGAGGAGCACTCTGCATGCCTCAGGGGAGATGGGAGGAACAGCTGGGAGGCTGGCTTGCCCAAGGGAGTGCTAGGCTCTGAGTGTGGCCCAGATCTCAACTGCCAACTGTTCCCTAAATCCACCCTGATGGCATGGGAAGTACAAAGACCTCCCTCCCACGAGGAAAGGCTGACGATGAATCATATGGAGGTACATGGGGAAGATCCTCAGAGCTCGCATTAAAAAAAAATTTGAAAACCAATGTTTATTTTAAACATGTGCCTTTAGTCCCAACCCCACAATTTCTCTGTTCCACATTCCCAATGGTGGGGCCAGAGACCTTATTTACTTCACTCAACCTCTAGGTAGGTTTTCTCTGTGTGGCGCCTTGGTCCCTTCTGAAGTTCCAGGTTTGCATTTCTGGACCTCAGATACATTAGGGCCCTGTGAGTGTTCTGACATACACGGGCATCCCAGTGGGGTCTTAGGACAGTTGCCTGAGCTTTGGGGACCTGGAGTGTGACCTGCAGAGGGCTGTGGGTGTTGGAGTTGATCTGGGAAATTGAAGTTGGCAGCTGGAGGGCTTGGAATGATGGTCGGGCTTGGTGCTTGTTGTATAGCCTTTGTGACAGACTTCCTCCCAAAGCTGATAGGATTCATGGGTCTCACCTAAGATTGCAGGACATAGCCCACTGGAGGCCTTGAGTAAATCAGGATTTTTTTGTATCCACTTGGTGAAGGAGGCGGCGCCAGCAGTTGTACAGTAGGCCAGGGTCATCTGGGCAGTGGGTATCCTCAGAAGCATTTGCCAAGTGCCCATGAAGGAACCCCAAGGACTTGCCTTGGAATAGGGCATTGAAGGCAACAGATGACCATGGTCATTGGTGATAATCTGAGTGTAGCCTTCATGGGGAGAGATCCTCTCCTTGGTGGGCTTGGCGGGAGGCAGTTCTGCAGATACTTGGATGAAAAAGTTTTCTCATACTGGCTGGCACCGCAGTTAGTGGCCATGATCCTGTGCTGTTCCAGAGCTCACTCTTGACACCCAGGATTCCATGACATTTGAGGTCACCCACAAATACGGATGAAAATGTGCATAGGTTCACAGGACATTCCCAGCGGTAAGTAACGAGGTGACAGATATATGGCAAATACAGTTATAACCAGCACTAACAAAATATTAGTGACATTTTTTAAATGAAAAATTGCTTGAGATAATGTATATATTACTGTTTTTGCTGTATTTTCATTAGATTGAAATTGATGAAACCACTTTTCCACAACTCAGTCTTTTTTGATTTTTTCTTTCTTTCTTTTAGTTTGCCATAGGGTGCATGCACTCAGAGAGAGATAAAGTGAGAAATCGCTCCCTTGGGGGATGACCATACCACAATCCCATCTTTCATTCTCCTCATGATTCTGGGCATGCACACACATGTGCTTGGTACATGTGTTATTTCCCAGCACCTGGGTCCGGGACTTGAACTACAGAGTCTGCCATATGGGATCCAGCTGCCTTAACCTCCATACTACCTGCTGGCTCTCACTGTTTTTTTTTTTTCCCTTTTCTTTTGTTTTTCTTAAGAGAGATTCTTGCTATAGGGTGTGCACACTTGCCGGAGAGACAAACAGAGAGACTGAAAGTGAAATTTCACCCCCTGTGGGGGATGGCCATGTCGCAATCCCTTCTCCTCCATTCTCCTCTCAAGATTTAGGTCATGCATACATACACAACCGGAGTGACTTTAAGCTGCTGGGTCCAGGACTCGAATTGCAGTTCACGGGAGTCCAACAACATAACCTTTATGCCATCTACTGGTCCTTCAATGTTTTTTTCTACTTTCTTCTTTTTGTTTAAGAGAGATTTTTGTTATAGGGCACATGTGCCCACTGAAGAGAAGACAGAAAGCGAGAAATCACCCCCCTGGGGGGGATGGCCACACAGCAATCCCTTCTCTTCCCTTCTCCTCTCAGTATTTTGGGCACACATGTACATGTGCCTGGCTGAGTTTTAAGCCACCAGGTTCAGGTCCGAAACTGTGATCAACTACGTGGGAGCCCAGTGACATAACCATCACACCATCTGCTGGTCCCAAAACACTGTTATTTTAAATGTCTTCTTTATTCAAGATAGTGTGTGTGTGCGTACCTGAGAGAAAGGAGCACCCTCCACAGGGGGCCTGGTCATGCCACAGTCCCTCTCTTCCAGTCCACCAGCCAGTCAGAGCTGGCACTCACACACATGCCCAGTGTTTCAGGATGACTGGGCCAGGGACTCACACCACGTCGCCATGTGGGATCCGGCATCTCTGGAGCAGCACATTAGCGCTGCACCACCATGGAGCCAGCCCAACATGAATTACGATGGAAATCTTTCAGAAACTGAAATGGCCAAAATACCAAATGTTTTAAGGCGATATTCAAGAAAGGAGAAAATACCTGCACCTAGTGAGAAATGCAAGATGACGCCAACACTGGCTAGGAA